ACTGGATACATAGCTTTCAATCTCTTTTTTGAGGGAAGGCCACCAAAACTGTCTTTTTATGAGGTGTAAAGTTTTTACGAACCCGAAACGACATGCTTATTTAGCATCATGGCAAAGTTGCATAACCTTGAATCCCTGGCTAACAAGTACATATATTTTGGCTCCTACCCAAACCACTCCATCCTGGATGGAGCAGATATTTTTGTGCGCATTGAACCAGGTGTTGTCCTTCAGAGTGATTTTTAAAGCGGCTGCTATGGCTCCGTCCACCTGTAGTTTTCCTTTCTCTCGTGCTCTTGTGTTTACTTGAGCTGCTAATTGGTGCAAGGGGAGCATCGGTTTAACTACTTCTACTTTGGAGCTGTTGTAGTGAGGCATCCTTGACAGTGCAAAGTGAAGTTGAAATGCCGAAAGTATTGGACCCATTGTGCTTAGTTAGGGGAGCGTTTCCAAGGGTTTTCAAGGCCTCCAGGTTTTTGTGATCAGTCTAAACCTGGAGAGGAATTTTACTTCCTTCCAAAAAGTGCCTCCAGGAGAGGAGTGCCGGTCTGACTGCATAGGCTTCCTTTTCCCACCCAACCCAATGTTGTTCTGCTTCAGTTGTGTACATGCATGGCTGTAATTGCCCCTGGTCATTTTCTTGCAACAGTACAGCCCCTGCTGCCACATCACTGGCATCAGCTTGGATGATAAACAGCTTATTTGGGTCTGGCTGCTTTAGCACTGGTTCGTCAGAAAAGAGCCGTTTAAGTTTTTCAAATGCCGCCTGGCATTCTATAGTCCATTTTAGTGGTTGATTGGGTTTAGGTTTAACCCCCCCCCCTTTCCCCCCCAGCAAGTTTGTGATGGGTAGGACAATCTGTGCAAATGAAGAAATGAACTGCAGGTAAAAATTAGCAATTAACTCTGTAGTTGCTTTCTAGTTTGGACCGCTCATACTTTCTCTGGATCCATCTCAATCCCTCATGGGAGATTCTGTAGCTCAAAAAAATCAATTTTGTCCTTATGGAATTCACATTTGGACAGTTTGTCGTACAACCGAGGAGCACAGAGTTTCTGTAGGATTACTCTAATCAGTTTTATGTGTTCAGCTTTCATTTCGGAGTAGATTTAAATGCCATTCAAGTAGACTAGACTGTCTTTGTATAGGTGTTCATGCAGAACCTCATTTATCGGTTGCATAAAGACTGCAGGCCGAACAGAAGCACCCTAAACTGGAAGCAGCCGAGGAGGCAGTTGAAAGCAGTTTTCCACTTATCTTCTTCTCTGATCCTAATGCGATAGCAAGCCTCCCACAAATGCAGCTTGTTGAAGATCCTCCCCTTGACAGATAGGCTAGCGTGTCTTTCATGAGTGGGAGAGGATACATGTTGTCTACACAAACTGTGTTGAGAGATCTATAATCTATGCAGAGATGAGAGGACCCATCTTTCTTTTTTTTTAATAGTACCTGGGCAGCCACTCAGGGTCTGGCTGGTTGGATAAAACCCTGAGCTAGGTTCTTGTCGATGAATGTACAAAGTTTGTCTAGCTCTCTTGGAGTCATCGAGTAGAGTTTCAGTTTTGATAGCTTAGCCCCTGGGACAATTTCAATGGCACAATCGGTGGGCCGGTAGAGGGGAAGCTCATCTGACTTCTTTTCACTGAAAACTTCCCTTAGGTCCGAATACTCTTTTGGAATGGCCAGTAGAAGTCTCCCTTGTACTGCAGTTTCCACCTCTTGATACAAAACTCCCTTAGTAAAAGGTCCCTTAGGACAGCCAGTAGGGGTCCCTCTTGCCCTGCAGCTCCTCCTTCCCGATACCTGACTCCTTTAGTTAGGTGCTCATAGATTTTCTATGAATTTTAACAGTCCCTTTCTCCAGTTCACCCAGGGATGAACTAGATGTTAGCCCATCACTTCAGCCAGGCTAGCCCTAGGACCAGGGGTCTTTCCATCCCTGGGGCAATTATAAAACTTAGAGTCCCTGAGTGTAGCAAATGTGCCCGGAATACCCCCTGTAACTGAGCCATGCAACTGGCAAAGCAATTGAATTTTTAAGTCTCCTCAAGCGAATCCCCAGTTTGTCCACCAGAGCTGGACTGACTAGGCATCTAGTGCACCCAGAGTCTAGAAGGGATTTTAAGGAGACTTTCTGTCCAGTTCCAAGGAATTTTAATTCTATGGGCATGGTTACAGGGACAATAGGGCAACTTATCAAGGGGTCATCATCTAAATCACTGTCCGTCGACTCCTGGTTTTCTCTGGTGAGGTCGTAATTCTCTGGGGGAGGGAATGAACACTATAGCCTCTGAGCCTTTTAGAGCCATCTCCTTTGCCCAAGGCTGTGCTCTTGCTACTTTTCCTCCCAGAGTTGCTTCTCCCTCCTTGATGGGGCGTTTTGCTCTCCTGCCTGATGGCCTTCTTTTCCATGCTTGAAGCAAACGGAGGAACATTGTGGCTGGGGTTGGCTCCTAGCAATCTCTCTTTTCCTCTCAGGGGAAGATCTCTTCCACATTTTGCCACCACAATACTTGTTTCAGTTTTGGTGCATCTCCATCCCCTCAGCTAGCATACACCTGTTACAGAGATGAACAGGGGTGGGCCTTGCAACACACACATTGTACTGGTCATTGTTCAGGCCATCCTTGAAGCATTTCCTCTGGCCAATGAAGTTAGCAGGCCAGGTCTCGAAATTTCTTGGTGTACTCTGCTGCTGGTCTGCACCCCTGTCTCACAGTTCTGATGTGGTCTCTGGCTTTCCAATCAACTAAGGGATCCTCACATCACTGTCTCAGGGCAGTCATGAATTGATTAAAATTCCTCAGCTCTGGGGCATTGGTGTTGTGAAGGGTTACCATCCACCAGGCTACTGTCCCTCCAAGTCCAGAGTAACAACTCAGACCTTCATAGTAATTGCCTCGCCAGTCACCTCTGTGCATTGCCCACTCTGCTCAGCTCACCAAAGTTAAGCATGTTGTCTGCTTTAACTTTAACTTTTAATAAATTTATATGCCACCCAATCCTGTAGGACTCCGCTTGCCCTTCACCTTGGGTCGGGGCCCAGGGCCCAGGGATATGCCATTCCCTGACGCCCCAAAGCCTCTGCCCACTCACCGTTCACCTTGGCCGGGTCAAGGAACATGCCATTCACCAGTTCCAGCCTTCTTGAGGCCTCCTCCTGCATGCCACCACTCTCCCTTCACCATGTGTTGCCCCCTTTCCCCTCCTTCAAGACCCTGGCCCTTACTTAATCTCCCTGTGGGCTTACCTTAATCCTCCTGTGGCTGCTGGCAGAGGGGTGAGCCAGGGCTGAGCCATTACCACTGGGCTCCCTGCCAGCCTGCATCTCTCCCCCTCCCCTGTCACGAGATCCCTGCAGCAGGCACCTCTTTTTTTTCGGTGAGAGAAGCCTCCCAGCACCCACCTCTTTGCCAGCCAGAACCAAGCTGGTAGTGGCGGCTGCAAGCTTCTTGCACTGAAAACTACCGACCTCCGCTTGTCAAATGCACTGAAAAAGAGCTTCAGTCCTGCTGTTGTCGCCACCTGTTCTTCACACTGGCCATGCACACGCATCCCATGCTCTGCTCTGCCAGAAGGGCGGCGAGACTAAAGCTCTTTTTTGGCGTGTTTGAGAAGCAGAGGTCGGTAGTTGTCAGCGCAAGAAGCCTGCAGCCACTGCTGTCAGCTCGGTTTCCGCTGGCAAAGAGGCGGCAACTGGGAGGCTTCTTGCACTGAAAACTAACAAAAATTACAGGCTGAAAAAGAGGCCTGAAGTCCCATCACCACCACACTGTTTTTGCGCACCCCATTGCCTGCCAGTGCGCTTGTGCAGCCACACCCCATTGCCACAACTGGCCAGGAGAATGGCCTGCTGCACCAGAGGGTCGTCGTTGTAGTGGAGTTGCTCAGAAGGCAGCTGGATTGTGGTGTCCCTTTGACGCAGGGGGAGAGGGACCATAAAGGGACAGGCCACAGGAGCTTCTTTTCTGCCAGTTCTGTGGGCGTGGCTTGGTGGGAGTGTCATGTTACTGAGGGGGCATGGCCAATTTGACATCACATTTAATTGGCCATGCTCACCAAGCCATGCCTACAGAGCTAGTAGTAAAAAAAAATTGAATCCACCCCTGCTTCCAATATCTATATACAGTATATAAATGTGAAAACACTCATGGCAGTAATCACGAAATCTCCAGAACCGTAAAGCCTACAAACTTGAAATTTGGCACGTATGTTCCTCTTGGCTTCTAGGTGCTCGGTAACTAAGGATTTTTCGAAATGACCATCAGAGCATTAGTATTTCATATATTATTATTAACATGCTCTGATGCTAAGGAGTTAGACGTTCTACTCCCCCTCTCAACCGGAAAACTTAGCATGAGTGTGGCCAGCGCATGACTTATCCGGCCTGCTGGCTGGGAGTTTGGAGAGGAGCCTGAGGGAGAGAAGGGGATAGGAGAGGCTTCTGTGGGGCAAGCTTGAGGGAGAGAAGGAGATAGGAGAGGAAAAGAGGTTTCTGTGGGGCAAACCTGAGGGAGAGAAGGGGATACAATAGGTGGGGCTTCTGTGGTGCAAGCCTGAGGGTAGAAGGGGATAGGATAGGGGAGCTTTATGTGGGGCCAGGCTGAGGGAGAGAAGGGGATAGGATAGAGAAAGATTTTGTGGGATAAACCTGAGGGAAAGAAGAGGATAGGATGGAAGAGGTTTCTGTGGGGCAAGGCTAAGGGAGAGAAGGGAATGGGGCACGGGAGCTTTCTGTGGTGCAAGCCTGAGGGTAGAAGGGGATAGGATATGGGTGGCTTCTGTGGAGCAAACCTGAGAGAGAGAAGGGGAGAGGAAAAGTTGATGGTAACTACTCATTACTTTTCAAGCTGTAAGTGTCGATTTATCAAGCCCAATCACATCGTTTCATAGCGAAGTACGGGTATTCAGCTAGTTAGTTGATAAACATGTAGAGTGTTTGAATCTTTCAAAGTAGCAACCTACTGAATGTCATCTATTTTTCTCTTCTTGTTTGTAGGCCTAGCTGTCTCTCTGCAGCTACTCCATGGAGACATTGAACAAATCAGAAGAGACTACACAGCCATGTTTACCCATGGAGTATCAATAGCAAGGAAGTTGGGCTTTTCCAATATTATTATGCCAGGTATGTTGTAAGAAAAGCCTACCTTAACATGAATATTTAAATGTGAATAATTTTTGTTTAGTTATGAAGGCTTCAATGCCATTTCACTTGCAACTTTAAATGGTTTCCAAGCAGAAAAATGGTAGCGTACAAACAAGTATAAAATAATAACCTTGGGTACGTATATGCCTACATGCATACATGCCTACTTACATACATACAGCCTTTATCTCTATCTATCTCTATCTCTATCTCTATCTCTATCTCTATCTCTATCTCTATCTCTATCTCTATCTCTATCTCTATCTCT